GATGTAGCTGTGTGGTTAGGAGTGTGGTTCCTAACAGACACTCACCCAGGGCTGGTCGAAGCTGTATGTGTGCTGATGGTCCTCCAGGTCGTCGTCCTGCTTGGCTTGCTGGAACTCGTGCCTCAGCCTCTGTATCCGGTCGTGGTTACTGGGAGCCATCTGACTGCTGGGAGAGAGAGACCAGAGAGCAAGCTGAGTGTTTATCTGGATGTAATTCATCAGCAAGCTCTCGCTCAGAAGCAACACCTGGCACATTAGTCTCGCAAGCATGTTGTTACAGGTGCTTTTTCATATTTGAATAATTCACTTGGCCACAATAACACCCTTCTAAATTGTATTGAAGCTCCCTTGATCTGACAGTCATGGTTCCTGTTTGCATATCTGCGTGACATCTCTATGTGCTTTTTCTTTCCACCCCCCTCCTTCTAGCCGTTGCTCCTGAACATCCCTCTAAGTAAAAGTGTCCCTTGTGCACAATTGTGAGTGACGCATGTCCCTTTTAGACTGCAGAAGAATGTTGGCCTTTTATGGTACGCAGTCATTAAACACTGTGGAAAACCCTCATTTACATCCCCTTCATTAAAGGGCTTTGAGGGGCCTGTCAATAGGAATCAATAGCCTTCCCTCGGCTTAATCAGGCTCTCCTTTTATCACCAGCTACAGAGGCAGCACATGACAAAACGCATAATTATGATGAGACAACCGGCTTGATAATAGGCCTGCATTTATGCATACCACGGGGATGAAAGTGACCAAAGGTTAGGAATTTGTGCTGGGAGGGGATGGGAGCTCAGGGATGTAGGGAGTGGGATGGATAGGGTGAGAGAAGGAGAGGGAGATAAAGGCAGGAGGGGTGTTGTTGGGGATGGTGCTGAGTGCAAAAGGGAAAGGTTAATCAAGAGCATGTGAGAGAAGAGAAAGAAACAAAGTCAGCCAGGACAAAGCGAGCAAAATCTCTATGAAATAAGGAGCGAGCGGAGACGAGGCCGAAAACATTCTCAAAAATGGATCCTTGATACAAGAACCTGTCACGCTGTCAGTCTGCGAGTCCTCCTGAGCAGCACTTACAGGTGGCACGCCAGCGCTGGAAGTGATTGCTTATTTGGGCCCACAGGATTCTGAGCACAATTATGGTGATAATTGCAGATTAGAATGAGCACATCCTTCTGATGATAATGGGCACTAGGACATTCTGCCAATCAAGCTTCATTAAAAGCACAATAAATAGCAGCTCATAAAGGCTGCACGGATCTCGGTGCATGCCCCTGAGTAGCACTTGGCGAGACACGGTTATCATGTTATTCGTACTGCTTGATCAAAATCAATTGTATTAGTTATACTCCATTTGATTCCTATAGCTTTATATGTGTGGGAGCTCAGGGAGCGTACATTAGGCCTTTTATGTGGATGTGGGCAATTAAGTGGCTCACTGGGGTGTGAGGTAGTTTATGCTTTTAGGGCGTGGGGTGATGGTAAAGTCCTTTTATTACTGTTCATTACAAAATCAATGTTCCCTCTCTATTTACTTGAGCTTGCTTAAATAGCAAATGCAATATTGAAGAAATTAAATTACTTAATTGCAGTCAATAGAGCCATACAAATCTATTCCTCAAAAATCTCTCTCTTTCACATACAATTTTTTCTTTGAACTACAAAAGTAGCACAGAAGCGTTTCATGTAACTCTTATCGGCTTTCGACAGCGTGTTTCTGTAGGAATACCAATGCTACTCACTCCTATGGACCCTGAGACCATCTGTTCGGTTTAATGTGTTTATTGATGCAAAAACATCACTTCAGTCAAAGGTTTCCAGATTCCTCTAAAGATATTTTCCAGAAAACTGAGTGCCTTAAGTACGTGTATATAGCATGTGCCTGAGACGGGAATAAACATATCTGCAATTCTAATTTTTGTGTTCCTCACATTTCTTAAATATATGCCTGATAATACATATCGAAATACAGCATATGCAATCATCCCTTGTTGTCTCTAATGGGTGGGAAAGGACCAAACATAGATCTGTGAAGTCCAATGCATGCAATTAGCTTAATCCCCAAGGCTGGCCAAAGAAAAGACCAGGCTGACTCCAAACAAACAGCCTCGTAAATTTTTCTGTTTGACCCTCCGGGGAGGGTCAGTGCTACCATCAGCATCTCAAACATGCACCATTGGGCCGGAGGAACCAGCTGGGCATCCACAAACGTCAGGCTATAAACAAGACTACTCGAGTCCATATACACTCACTACGTAATAAGACCTATTGGCCTTCTCTCACCCGCTGAAGCATCAATCTAAGAGAGAGTGATGGCCTGTGTATTACTAAAGATCTGTTCCAGTGTGTGGCGTATGATGTGGTGGGGTGAGGAACGGGAAAAGATGAGCGAAGACAAGATCTCTAGCAAATTAAAGAACTGGCAGCATAGCATTTCAATATATTTTTCAAAGCGCTACAAATGGAAATTGCATCGAGTGCTGGCTGGGAGGGGGGTGGGATTTAACGAGGGGTGAATTTGTCATGGCAGTTCAAAGGAGGCCTGTGCAATATCTAGATTATCTTCAGGGGCTTCTCCTCTTGGTCCTCCACCCACCATGGGGGCACCAAGTTGATGGGATTCTTGGAAAGCACTCCATGGTTTGTAAATATATTCATACGGTGAGAAATAGAGCTGGAAAACTAAGCATTGGGAAAGAGCGGGAATCGAGCACAAAGAGTCAACAGATGCTGCCCCCTATCACTGAAACAGCCGGCTGCAGGTCCGTCTCTCAGCCCCCTTCACTCACTTTCCACATTGCTTGGACACCTCAATGCATAATTAGTCAGCGTGGTTGTTGCTGATGTGTCGGGTGTCACTGCTTGTAAATTCACCTCCAAATACACCAGTGTCTGTAACGGACCTGAGGAACAGGTGCCGTCAGAAAAGGCTGGATGCGGGAGGTGTGGGGTTTGAATCGGACGGATACGGGAGAATATGAATGAGGCCTGCTCATCAGTTTGCCATAACCCGCGTGTTTGTGCAAAAGAGAGAAAAGGTCACAGGTTGTATAAGTGTACTCAGGGGCACCGGCTGGCTGTCTGCATCCCGGTCGTACGAGTTTGCGCGTCAGTGGAAAATGGGATACCGCCTGTAAAGTAATTAAAAAACATGGGAGGGATAAAGTATCCATATGCCACAGCATTTTCACAGCCAGCATCTTCATTCTGTCCAGTATAATGAGATTTGCTCAAAATTCATGTGTGAGCGTGCAGACCGAAATGTCAGCACTTGGCCTCTCTCGGTTGGCCTCGTTCCTCCGCGAGCATACCGGCGCGACCGAAACACGCGCACGTCGAAAAACATACAAAGAAGCCGACGCATTCTCTCACTATATCCATTTTCTTGTCTTCGCTTTATAGACGCTTGTACTGAGTTGAGTCACACCGCTGCTGTATTTATAGCCTGGCTCAAAGTTTATTCTGAGGGCTTATTGAGAGAGAGAAACCTGTGAATTCACTGGCACGCAAGAGTCAGGTCAAACAACAATAATCTGGACTCATCTAAGCAGCACAACCTCTACTGATTTGCTACTCCTGCTGCTTCAACTGATCCTCTCCCCTGTTAAGGAAAGATTACCAAGAACAAATCAAAAATAAGCCTGAAACTTTTTGCCATGAATGCTGAGTAAATCCTTTTTTTGTGTGTGTTTACTTATCACGTCACGATATTACAATTCATACAGAGACACCTTTGCAAGTTGTGAAGAACACACGTGTCTATGCATGTACATATGTGTGACCCCCCATCCCACCTGTGTTATTTAAACAGACCTGTTGACAGGGGTCATGATCACTCCAAAGCTGCAGTCAGAAGTATGTGGATGCCTGTCTGTGTAATAGTCATCCTTTGATCCAGGAGGATTTGGCAGATGTCTCTCACACACCACAAGGCTTAGGCCCAAGATGCAAACTATGCCACAGTCCTCCTATTTGCTTCTGTTGGTGGATCAAAGCTGCACTGAGTCTCGACATGCCCCATAAACACTGCCACCGGCCAATAAAGGAGTAATCCAATCACCGAGAGTGTAACATGGGTCATATGAGCACACCTAAGGTCAGGGGCCGGTCCCAGCCAATCGGAACGAGAGCAACGGCGTTATAATCCTGAGGGTGAAATTTCGACAGATGAAGTTTGACATAAGTTCTGAGAGTTGTCGCAGAATGTTCATTTCCAGCCAAAGTGAAAAAGGATGAACTGCTGGAGCTTCGGTGTGACTGTAAAATCAGACGTTCTGTTATTTCTTATCAGATCAATGTTGATTGAAATTCTATCAGATTATCTGGTTTCTTACTCTGGTCCCAGTATCTCTCTGCAGCAGATGAGGGGGCAGACTTCTTAAGTTTGGGCCCTTTGGCAATCTTGCATCAAGTCAAAGGCTTAGCTCATCTTTATTCCATCACCCTGTGGACTTTCATTTATTTCAAAGACAGATAGATGAGGCATTTGTGGGGAAATGGACAGCCTTTGGGACCTACCGCGATGATAGAAAGAGATTAGATCTGCATTACCGCTGGTCATTTTTGAAGGGGAGAGGGACAAAGATAAAACATTTTTTTAGAGTCTTCAGAGGAAATCAGCATATATCGGCCAATCTGCCACAATTTTTGCAAGCAATCAAATGAGAGCAGTTGAAGCATATATCCCCCCTTCTGGCATTTCTTTTCCTCTCCACTTTACACTTTCCTTTGCATCTACATAAAAATGTCTTTCTTTTTTTTTTCTCTTGCCTCATTTCTCTTCTTCATTTCTGTCCTTTTCTTCCCATATGTTTTATCTCTGAATGCCTCAATCCTCCTCTGTGGTTACAGGGATAGGTCATGAATTCCCTTCTGTCCCCCTCATCCTCTCCCACTAGCCTGGTAAGTGACAGCTGCAGGCTGGACAAAGGCCTGATAATACCCTGGATTTGTCAGGCTCTGACTTCACCCATGTCCTCCTGTGACTGATGCACCGACAGTGGCGCCTGGCCAGCTAAAAATCCCACTTCTAGATGGGGGCTGTTGCTGTATTTGAGCTGAGTGTGAATGTGAATCCATGGCTCCTTTCAGACTCCAAAGCAGCACATATGGGGTCCTTGGGGGTCCTAAGAGGCCATCATCTGGGATGCCTGCCTAGGCCATGGTGGTGGCGTG